TTTACTGTTAGGTATATAATTTCATATAGTAAATCTTAATAAAAGATGAGACTTTAGGGAACAGAATGAGTGGTGGTGAGGGATGCAAAAAGTATAGTATTGGATAAACAAAAAGTCAACTTTGGCTTGAGTCAACTGGAGCCTTTGAGAATGAGAACTTCTCCAACTTTCTCCTTAATCTCCAGCAGAAGAGGCATCAGCTCCCTCAGCTCACTTGAGCACACTTGAGCGCTGGTTGTGGTAGTCATCGGTGATGGAGTTGATGCGATACATCTGCACACTGCTGCTGCTGTGATTGCTGCTGCTGTTGTTGGCATTGCAGCTGTTGTTGTTGTTGTTCACTGCAAGACCCTTGAAGCCACCGTTGTTGTTGTGGTTTTCAATACCACCAGNTACATCTGCACACTGCTGCTGCTGTGATTGCTGCTGCTGTTGTTGGCATTGCAGCTGTTGTTGTTGTTGTTCACTGCAAGACCCTTGAAGCCACCGTTGTTGTTGTGGTTTTCAATACCACCAGCAGCAGCAGCTGCTGCTGACAACGATGTTCCGCCATTCGCCTGCTTGCTCGTTGTCAGAAGACTCTGTGGTGAAAAGGGTGAAAAGAAAGTGAGCTTTATGAGAAAAAAGGCTATTCAAAACTATAAATCCTCCTACCATTGACTTCTTACTCTCCAGCTTCGTCTCCAGGCGGTTCTTGCCCTTCTTGTAGAGGATGCCCGCAAAGACGAGCAGATTGAGGACGAGCAGCGAGACGCCGATGGCGATGATCAGACTGAGCGCCGCCGAGTAGTTGCCCGACTGGACGATCATCGAGAAGGAGGCGTTGCCCTCACCTCCGCCGGAGGAGGAGTCGCCCAGTCCGCGGCNGTTCTTGCCCTTCTTGTAGAGGATGCCCGCAAAGACGAGCAGATTGAGGACGAGCAGCGAGACGCCGATGGCGATGATCAGACTGAGCGCCGCCGAGTAGTTGCCCGACTGGACGATCATCGAGAAGGAGGCGTTGCCTTCACCGCCGCCGCCGGAGGAGGAGTCGCCCAGTCCACCTCGGTTCTTCAGGTCTTGAGAGGAGGCACTGTGTTTACCACCAGGACGGCCACTGGAGGAGGAGGAGGAGGAGGAGGAGGAGTTTGAGGCGCCGCCCAGTTTGCGACTTTGGTTGAAGGTGGAGGAGGCCTGGTGGTGGTGCTGGCTCCCATCACCCGCTGAAGAGAAGGAGCCGCCCCCGCCACTGTTACTAGAAGCCTCCAGCAGCTGACCCATCAGGCCTCCTGCGCCCTCTGCGCTGAAGTACGTGTCAAAGGCAATGGGCGCGGAGAGGTCACCGCTGCGGACGACGCCCTCGTAGCTGAGTGGATTGTTGTGCGACTGTGGTGGACATCATTCAGAAAAGAAAAGAAAAGAAAAGTGTTAGTCTTTGTTTGAAATTTCGAAAACTTTTTCATTTACATCAAGCAGGTGGTGCTCTGCCCCGGAGCCCGGCTTGTGCAGCTGCGGCAGCAGATTGAACCAGTAGGAGAGGCGGTGGGCGAGGTAGTGGTCGCCGGTGGTCACTTTGGTGCCTATTTGAAAAACAAAAAATTAAAAACAAGCCGAAAACCTAATCAGAAAAACGCTTACCAAAAGAGGCGTACTTCTGCTGCACCTCCTCATAGGGCGGCCAGAAGAAGTTCTCCTCGCTGATCACCGCCCCCGGGTAGCTGCCCTTGTTCACCGCCAGGTAGCTGTTGCTCTCCACCGACTGGTTGTTGTTGGGATCGCTGAAGAGGAATCCAACATGAAAGAGTCCAACAAATTAAAACCTTGCCAAACAAAATCGCCTCCTCCTCCTCCTCCTCCTTCCCCTTCTTACCCCGTCCTCACAAAGTTGGCCACCAGGCGGATGAAGGCCTCCGAGAGGGCGACCTCCGCCCGGGTGTAGTTGAGCGGAAAGGCCGCCGACAGCTGGTAGCCGTTGATCAGCGGCGCCCCGAAGAGGTACGCCAGCTCCTGGCCGCTGACCGCTCCGCCCAGCCGCGGGCTATAGTCACCCGACTCGGTCTGGTGGCCGAAGGCGTAGAAGTAGGTGCCCGCCTGGGCGTGGTGGGCCACCTGGTGGTGGGAGCCACCGCCGTGACCTCCTCCTCCTCCTCCTCCTCCATTGGAGCCACTATTTCCACCGCCCCTGGAGCTGTGCAGCAGGCCCACGCTGATGGCGGGCGCCACCACCAGCGCATCGCTGAAGATGTCCACCAGCGAGTCAAGGAGGCTGATCGGGTGGAGAAAGGGCCGCGTCCAGTCGGTGTACTCATTGACCAGCGTGTAGAAGATCTCCTGCAGGTGGTAGGAGTAGAGGTTGCGGACCAGGGTGCGCAGAAGCCGGTCCCTGCGGCCCACCTCTACGCCGTGGCGCTCATCGGCGGCGTTGAAGAGGTCCACGACGGAGGCGGTGCTCGGCGGTCGCTCCACTCGAGTGACGCCAAACAGCAGCGCATAGGTGGAGAAGTAGGCGGAGGAGGCGGCGGAAGAGAAGGAGGAGGAGGAGGAGGAGGAGGACTTTGAGCCAGTACCTCCTGAACTTCCTCCTCCACCACCTCCTCTGGACATCAAGGCGGCCGGATCTCCGGGCAGGACGATCCCGTCGATGATCGGCCCAAAGGCAGTGAGGTGGGCGGGCACGGTCAGCGGGACGCTGGTGAGCTCCTCGACGGAGCGCTCGCGAAGACACTCGAGGACGGCGGCGGCGGAAGAGGAGGATGAGGAGGATGAGGAGGCGTGAAGATGAGCCGAAGCGGCCGGCTCCGAAGTGGATGATGAACCGGAAGCGGAAGCGGAAGCAGCACTTTGAGCGCTCGACTGGCAGCCCACCGCCCTGGCCACCGTCTGTCCGTGGAGGACGGCATCAGAGGCAATCGCCCAGGGGGAGAGGGCACTTCCGCTGGCCATTATCGCTCGATGGAAGAGGCCTGGGTGTTCGCGTAGAGGATGGATGACAAATGGACGGTCATTAGGGGGCATTATAAATCAGCGCAGGTTTTTTTACGCTGAACTAAAGCCACCACTTACCTCTGGCCATGGGCGAAAGCATGAGAAAGTTGACACAGGCCGCCCCCGTGCCGTGGCCCATCACCGTCACATTGCGCTCGTCGCCGCCAAACTCGCGAATGTTCTCCTGAAGTGATAAAGTGAAAAGTGAAGTAAACAAGTAAGTCACTAACGTGAGGCTATCACTTTTTCTCTTTACCTGAATCCAATGCAAAGCGGCCACTTGGTCCATTAGGCCAAAGTTGCCGCGGGCGCTTCCGCCCGGTGATGGAAAGAAGCCTGGTGTAGGGTGAAAAGGTATTTGAAGAGGATTTAAGTTTGCGTTTGGATTTTAATGGGAGGTGCAATCAATCGTGGAGTGAGGTTAGAGGCAGTTGACTTACCGAGTATGCCCAGTCGGTAGTTGATGGTGACGACGACCAGGCCGCTGGCGCTGGCCAGCACCGAGCCGTCCACCGTCGAGCCGGCGTTCCACTCGTACGACTCCCCGTGGATGAACATGAGCACGGGCAGGCGGGCCAGTTCTCGAGTTGCTACAAATAGAAAAGGGTTAAAAAAAACTTTCTAAGCCTTTCATCACCAAGACAAAACAAAAGCAGAACAAAAACCTACCACTGGCCACTGTGTAGATGTTCAGGTAGAGGCAGTCTTCGCTTTGGTTGGCGAGCAGCGGATAGAGCCGGCGGAGTAGTTTTAGCCGCCCTCTGGTCATCCGCCCCAGCGCCTCCGTCTCATTGCTGATGTCGGCGAGGCGTTGCGGACAGACAGGGCCAAAGGTGGTCGCAGAGCGGGTAGTGGTCCAGGTGGGCGGCGTCACCGGGGGCATGAAGCGCAGTCGGCCCACCGGCGGAGAGGCGTAGGGAATGCCTGCACAAGAGATCAGATTAGATTCAAGAAACGTTTTGAGAGTTTAAAAAGAACTCCATCGACTCTTACCGAGAAAGGCCTCCACCGGCGGGAGGGCCTTGTTGGGGAAGTTGTTGATGGTGAAACCGCGCAGGGCGCCGTACTTGGTCTTCACCACTCGAGAGCTGGATTGCTGAGCTTGATTGTTGGAGGAAGGGCCGCCTGATCCCTGATCAAAGCTGCTGGCGGCGGCGGCGGCGGCGGCGGCATTGGCACTGCAGTGAGTAGTAGGAAGTGAGGTGAAGCTGAAGAGCAGAAGGTAGAGTTGTATCACCAGGAGGAGGAGAGAAGTGGTAGGCGGCTTCAAGCATTGCAAAAGGGGAATGGTAGGAGTTGAGGAGGAGGTGAGGAGGAGGGAAAGGATGCGCAGTAAGTAGGTGTTGATTGAAGTGGTAGGCGTACTGGAGGCGNTGAGCTTGATTGTTGGAGGAGGAGGAGGAGGAGGAGAAGGAGGAAGGGCCGCCTGATCCCTGATCAAAGCTGCTGGCGGCGGCGGCATTGGCACTGCAGTGAGTAGTAGGAAGTGAGGTGAAGCTGAAGAGCAGAAGGTAGAGTTGTATCACCAGGAAGAGGAGAGAAGTGGTAGGCTTCAAGGATTGCAAAAGGGGAATGGTAGGAGTTGAGGAGGTGAGGAGGAGGGAAAGGATGCGCAGTAAGTAGGTGTTGATTGAAGTGGTAGGCGTATTTGAGGCTGGAGATCTTTGGCTGGGAGCTGATGAAAAGACGGTCCTCTTCCTTTGTCTACACCTCTGCACTACTGCTGCTGCTGTTTTGGAAGAGTCCGAACTATTTGAAGAGGTACTGGAAGGCGAAAAGGTGGTCGTAATGTGATCAAAAGATGAGGGTGGCGGTGGTGGTGGTGGTGAATTATCATCCATAATCAGTAGTTCTGGAGGTAGTGCTGACAAAGAAGTGNCGGTCCTCTTCCTTTGTCTACACCTCTGCACTACTGCTGCTGCTGTTTTGGAAGAGTCCGAACTATTTGAAGAGGTACTGGAAGGCGAAAAGGTGGTCGTAATGTGATCAAAAGATGAGGGTGGCGGTGGTGGTGGTGGTGGATTATCATCCATGATCAGTAGTTCTGGAGAAGGTAGTGCTGACGAAGAGGTGCACCGACTGACTGAAGAAAAAGAGGAGATCGGTCGGCTCATGGTGGATGCTCATGCACACACACACTAGTTCAGTGGAGGACTCAAGTGCAGTGAGAGGTAATGGCAAAGTGTAAGGGCTGGTAGTGGTGGTAGTGGTGATGACAGGGGTGACGAGGGTGACAGCGACTCATCATATTTGTCATCTTTCAGCGGCGGCGGCGACGATGAAATGTCAGCGGCGGTGGCGAAGGCGAAGGCGAGCACGTCCGTCAGTGAACGCGGAGGATGCCCTTCTGGTCACTGTGTGTTCTGGTGTGCGCAGCCAGGTGAGCACCACTACTGCTCCGATGTTCCCCTCAGCCTCTCTCTCTCTCTCTCTCTCTCTCTCTCAGTCTCTCTGCTCGGACAGTGCACACTGAAGAGGAGGCGACACACTTCAGTTTGGGTTGCACATCAGCAGCCCTGCCTGGCGACAGTTTTCAGCTCCGAGTTGGCCTCCTCTTCTTCTTCGTCTTCGTCTTCTTCCACTTTTCTATTCTATTCTCTCTCTTTCACTCAGCGCCAGTCAAGAGTGAAGGGAATCCTAGAGTTCGGTTGCTGCTGCTGCTGCTGCCATCGCCGAAGATGCTCGCTCTCTCTCCATTTGGAAGCGATTTGTGTCCAATTGTGGTTTCCCGTTTCCAGCAGCCGCAGCAGCAGCGGCAGCGTACGCAACTCTATCTAGCTAGTTCGGTGTGCTCTTCTCTCGCTCTCTCTCTCTCTCTCTCTCTCTCTGGTTTCCTCCTCGTGGCTGCTGCTAGTTTGTATATGGCTGCTCCAGCAAAAGAAGAGAATGGAAGAGAATATGGCTGCTCACTGTCTCTGCTGATGATGGCATCGCCTCGGCTAATTCCCCTTGCTCCCCTGCCTGCCTGCCTGCCTGCCGAACACATGCCTGAACATCACCCCACCACCACCACAAGCACATTTGCTGGATGGGCTATATACCCCCTTCTCGGTTGGGATGCTTCCTCGGTGATTAGTAGCTGCCTGAGAGTAGCTACTATATGTTCGGCAGGGGTATTAGTCCTCCATTAGGACATACTGTGCTCAGCTTCAGCTTCAGCTTCTTCTTCTCTTTTCATTTTCATTTTTGATCGTATATAGCCCTCCCTTTAGTGGTGTTCAACTAGCTCCGGTGGTGAGCATATGTCCGAGGAAGAGAGTAAAAATTGTGTTTGCATCGCACATACACAGCAGCAAAGCAGTTGTTGTTAACATGTGCTCTTGCTGTTTCTTGCTCTTGCTGTCTCTTGTTCTCTGTATCTGTATTGCTGCTGCTGTATCGGACTCATTTGTACCAGGGGATTAGCGCACCAGCACCAGTGTCACTTAGTTAGGAGGAAGCTGGTGATGGCAGGATGGAGGAAGGGGGAGGGAAAAGTGTTGGCACAGAAACACAGAAGCGCACACACACACTACTACGACGGAGTCATCTGATCACGTCTCTCAGCTGATCTCGCCGGATCCGTCAGTCATCCAGCAGACTAAGAAGAAGCAAAAGAATGCTTTGTTTTTGGTACAGGCAAAAAGGTGAGAAAACAAAATGGATAACAAACCGGGTATAAAAAACACATCATCGTAGGTAGACAAAAGAAGAGTTAGATAGTCAACATCAGACTGGTATCAAGGCACTTGTAGCTCCCATTTGTGTGATTATTCTCAGGTGCGCCCCACCCCCCTCACCCCCCTTAGACGCAGATCTCATTGAGGTCGCAGGCCTCCTCCGTCACCGTCCACTGGCGGTACTCCGCAAAGAACTGCTCCAGCGGACAGAGGGCGGCAGAGCAGCCGCGCACCACCACCGGCACCTCATTGAGCAGGGTGAGCAGCTTCCAAGTGCTGGAAGGACTTTCCGCTGCTTCACTGGCTCCTTCTTTCGCCGGATCATCACCACTGCTCACCGGACAGCGGTAGAGGACGGCGGCAAAGTTGGTGCCAAAGGGCACCAGGAGACTGGACCGCCAGCGGCTGCCATCCGCCGGCAGGCAGATCTGCTCACTGCCCGGCGGGTGGTGGTGCGGCGGAAAGTGGTCCAGCAGGCCGAAGAAGCTGATCACCTTCGAGAGGAGGTTCTCGTGGCTGAAGTAGAGGGTGGCGTTTTTAGCGGCTTGATTAGAAGTCGTGGTCATCGTCGTTAGCTGCTCCAACTTGCGGTACAGGTCGGAGATGACGGTACAGGCGAGCTTTCGGTGGGCTTCGGTGCCTGGAAAAAGGAGGGGGTTGGCTTTAAAAATGAGTCCTTTTAATNGGCTTGATTAGAAGTCGTGGTCATCGTCGTTAGCTGCTCCAACTTGCGGTACAGGTCGGAGATGACGGTACAGGCGAGCTTTCGGTGGGCTTCGGTGCCTGGAAAAAAGGAGTTTGGCTTAGAATGAGTCTTCCTTTTAATAAAAAAGCCCTCGATCACTGACCGTAGGCATCAAAGTACTCGCTAATGTCCATCAGGTAGTCGAGCACCTGCAGCTCGGCGCCGGTGAAGAGGGCGCACCAGGGCGAGTGGCGGTGGATGGCCAGCTCGTAGGAGCAGGCGCGGTACACCAGCACCAGCGAGTCGAAGTTGAGCGTCACGCGGAGGCCGTTGCGCTCGCTGAAGCGCAGCAGCAACTGGATGAAGGCCTCACTGCCGGCGAACTGGTAGTACTCGGGCGGGTGCTTCGGCGGCGGCCGCTGCCGCTCCTCCAGCATCCTCTTGCACGTCTTGTGCGTCATCAGGAGGGGCTTCTCCTCCAGCGGGTGGAACTTCCGTCGGATGATCTCTGTGTGGAAATGATTAGATTGAAATCCTTTCCCCCCCTCTCTCCTCTCTCTCTCTCTTTGAACGTTACCCTCGACCCCGGCGCTGAGCTGTTCTTGACTGAACTGCTGCTGCTGCTTCTGATGCGAGGCGTTGCCCGCGTTGCTCTTCAGCTGCAACTCCACCAGCGAGCGAATAAAGGCGTCGGCCGTCTCGGTGGTGCGCACCTTCGGCGTGACGCCCACCTCAAAGTGCACTGAGTTGATGTCCAGCAGCGAGGGAAAGTACTGGTAGAAGATTTGCGCTAGAAAGAGAGAGAAAGAGAGAGAGGGCAAAACAAACGGGTTTACAAAGAGGTGTGATCACTTCAGTTTTCTATTCTATTCTATTCTCCCCTACCGGTGACAGCGGTCTCCAGGCGCCCGGACATGCTGACGTGATTCTCATCCAGCTCGCTCATCAGCAGGCGCCAGCTGAAGAGCGCCCGAAAGGTGCTCGGCTGCAGACGCCCGCCGGCGAGCAGCTCCGCGCGCAGCGGCGGCAGCAGGGCGGCAAAGCGGCGGATCTCCTTGACGCTTGGATAGCGAATCGAGTGTCGGTTGAGGAAGTAGAAGTAGTGCGGCGAGCAGCCACCGCCCTCATCATTGCTGTGCTCTTCGGCAGGAGGCGGAAGCGGAAGCGGCGGCCACCAGTGCTTGCCCGATGACTTCTTTTTCGACTTTTTGGCCTTGTGCGGATGCTGCTTATGGGTGGAGCCCTCAGGGAGGAGCACCTTGCGAATCTCCTGCCGGGCATTCAGGTAGGTTGTCTTGGTGCCAAAGAGCTTGTACGGCTCGCCGTCCTCTACTTCATCATCTTCCCCTCCTCCTCCTTCTTCGGTGACCTTTGACCTCCTGGTGAGAAAGTTAAAGCAGGAAAACTTTCTGCCAGAACTGCTGCCCACTTTGACGGAAATGATGTCATAGGAGGAGGAGGAGGCGGTGGAGAGCAGCCAAGGGTAGAGGCAGAAGAGGGCGAGCAGCAGCGAGCAGATTAGCAAAGCGGCGAGGACGATGCCAAAGGGGCTGCTGAGCAGTCTTCGGGGCAAGATGTGCCTGATGTGGCTTCCCTGACTACTGTTGCTGCTGCTGCTGCTACTGCTACTGCCACTGCTGTTGATGGAGATGGTAGCGGCGGTGGCCATTGCTGGTGATGATGCCTCGTGTGTGGAATCGCCAGCCAAACAACAGCGACAGCGACGATGGACGATAGCAACAAACAAGCAAAGTGTGCGTGTGCGTGTGTGTGTGTTGTATGTTTGAGATTACCAGGCACTGGTAATGGGGCTGCTAATGGTGGTGGTGGCGGCGGCGATGACGTGAATGGAAAGTGCCATCGAAGTGAGTGCTGCGGCAGCTCCCGGGCGACCAGTGGTGGTGGTGGTGCCGCCGCCAACGCCGAGTCGACATCGGCATCAGCAGCAACTGCAACAAAATACCAGCGCCGATTGACGTCAACTGGTGGTGGTGATGGTGTTGGCAATGATGATGATCACCACCGACCAGAAAGAAGAGAATGAAGAGTGGTAGACAAATAGAAATAGAAACTCTGCTGGCGTTCTATTTGCCGCCGCCGCTGTTGCTGATTACAATGTCAGGCTCTCCTCTTCAGCGTCGGCGGTGGCGATTGCTGATGATTACTGGCGATGTGATACAGACTTGATGATGATGGTGATGATGATGTTGATGTTGATGTAACTAACTAGCCGAGGTTACACACACACACCGCCGCCGCCGCCGCCGCCATTCACGGATAACTAACTAACTGCGAACCTCGCCAAAGGGCGACATGTGACACCGCACCGGACGGGAATGAAGAGCACAAGTGATTGACGTCAATGACGTCAATCGTCTGGCATCGAGGAGATAGCAAGGTCTTCGTCTTCGTCTTCAGTCTTGCAAGAAAGCGATCAGAAAGTGATCTGGGGTGCACTGCCAATGATCAGTGAAGTGCGAGTGATTCGATGCCGAAGAACAGAGATCAGTGACCAGAAAAGAACAGAAGACGACAACAACAACAACAACGGCGNACACTGCTTCTCTCTCACTGCAACTCTCGAGACACTCGAGTGCAAGTACTCTCTTTTTCTCCCCAGTTTTTTGCAGTGAATCTCACTGTGAGAGTGGAGCACTCTCACAACCCAAGAGCCAACTGCCAAGCCGCTTTCAAGATGATGATGGCTGTGCCCGATGGATGACGAGGATGTCTGTGTCTGTGTGTGTCTTCCAACGAAAGAAGAAGACGACGACGACGGAAGAAGAGTACTGCCTGCCTGCCTGCCTCCTGGCACTTTTCTCTCTCTCAGGACTCTTCTTTACTGCCGTACGACGACGATATCTCTGCTAAAGAAAGAAGGGGAAGGGAAAGAAAGAAAAGTAGCTGCCGTACATCGCAGCGTACAGCGTACAGTAATTGCAATCGCAGCAGCCTCAGGTAAGAGGAGGATGTCAAAGGATGCTGATGATAAGGAGGAGGAGGAGGAGGAGGACAGCGGTCGATGAACAGGAAACGAAGCAAGGGAAAACGGAGCAAATGACAGAGCATTGCCAAAGAATTGCCAAAGAACTAACCAAGTTTCTCTCTTTCTCTTTTTCCCTTTCCTTAGGCAGCAACAATAGGCAGGAAAAAGTGTAGAGGCCCAAAGTAGAACTAAGGAGCTGCTATAAATAGCGATAGGAGAATCACTTTTCAGTTCAATTTCGCAATTTCGATTTAAAACTGCTGCCGAACAAAACACTCAAGTGAACGAATTCGCCGCCGCCGCCGCCGCCGCCGTCGTTTTGTCCAATTTGCAGTTGCCGCCGAAG